TCTCTGCCCCTAACCCACTCGCATTCTGTCTCTCTCAAAAATGAGTACACGTTAAAAAAAAATTTTAACCTGAAACTGCACAAAACCATTTTCTTCCCAGAGTGACATCAATGTAGGAAGTGCAAGTAGAAACGGGTTTTAACTACTTAATTGCTAACTGCGGCATCTTCAGGACAGAGGCTTCTCCTGATTTAGGGTCCAGCCCTCGTGTCTCAGCTGCCCAGCTCAGGGACGGCGCCTGCAGCTGGCCCGCCACAGCTGTGTCTTCACTGCATCTGCTCGCTTGGTGACAGCCACACCCCGCCTGGTGGCTCCGCTGCACTCACCCAAAGGAAGCAGGCATTTAAGTCCTTCTTTCTCTAGAGCCTGAGGCTGGTCCAATAAGCAAAATTCTGCTGTAAGCCACCACGACAAGTGACAATTTTTCAGAACAGTGACCTATCTTTAACTTCTACCTTTTGTTGGGGGCTTTATGCGTTGCCTTAGGCAAGACAGAGACTACAGAAGAGTCTGTTTCCAGATCCCCTGGTGCTTCCCTGGGAACACAGGAAGGACTCAGGTCAGCCTGAGGCCCAGGAAGGCCCTGCGGGCGCTAGGCTCCTCCCAAGCTCCCAGCTTCCTAAGGGGACTCCAGTCTGGCCCTCTGCACGCACCCCATCAGTACCCTGCTCTGGAGAGGACGGCTGGATGTTCCAAAGGAAAGACGTCCGAGCCTTTTAAATGTAAAGCCTTTTTGATGTGAACCACATCAAGGGTGTACTTCACCCGAACCTCAAAAGGTCCAGTCCTCAGAACCCACATGGCTCTGCGGCCTCGAACGCACCCGTTCTGGTTTTTCCACCGCACGGAAGGATCTGCCCACGTACACACATAGGTACGCAGAAGGAGACACACCCGAAGAACGCTGCTTTTAAAGGGATACAAACAAAAAAACCTGAATGTCCGTCTGGATACGAAACTGATGAACTAGAATTTGGCACGTGCACCTAGTATCACAGAGCTGTCAGAAATCAAGTCACTCTCACTTGGCACATAAAATGAAGAAAGATGCACAGCCATACGCGTGCATTTAAGACAAAACAGAGCACGTAATTCCATAGGTACAAAAAAGCAAAATTTAGGTGGGAGTTGCACAACATTGTGAATGTACTAAAAAATGCCATTTAATCGTCAGCTGTAAAATAGTTACTGGTTAATTTTTTTTTTTTTCAACGTTTATTTATTTTTGGGACAGAGAGAGACAGAGCATGAATGGGGGAGGGGCAGAGAGAGAGGGAGACACAGAATCGGAAACAGGCTCCAGGCTCCGAGCCATCAGCCCAGAGCCTGAGGTGGGGCTCGAACTCACGGACCGCGAGATCGTGACCTGGCTGAAGTCGGGACGCTTAACCGACTGCGCCACCCAGGCGCCCCCTAATTTTTGATGTTATGTGCATTTTACCTCATTTTTAAAAGCAAAAGAATCCCCCATGATCCACTCCTCTCAGCACCAGCTCCTTCTAGAAGGGAGACCAGAGGGGGTGGAGGAGGAACAAGGAAAAGGGAAAGGAACTTATTTTAGCTGTACCATTCCAAAGTTTTACAACACGAACATAATTAAAAACAAAAATACTGACACAAAACGAGTGTGGGGTTAATTCACGCAGCGTGGTCTGGACCGGGCGATCAAGGGAGAAGCCTGCTGGCCCCACCGTGTAGCGGGGTTAGCTCTGGGTGGAAGGGTCCAGGAGACTGTAATTCTCCTTGGGCATCTCTGTGGTTTCCAAATGTTCTTCGATAGACACTTTGCCCAAATAATGAGAAGTAGACGTTTGTTAAGAGTAGTAAATTAGTGTTGGTCATATGATCACTGTTCTAATTTAAAAGAACAAGGCAGGTGATAAACACAGAAGCCCGAAGCAAATAAAAATGTGTTTTCTCCACAAAAACATTCAAGACCAACTCAACGAGAAAGTGCAAGGGACCCCCTGCGGCGACTACCAGACCCGCACTGGCTCCTCCATCCGAGCGGAGCTCGGGCCGCTGGCCCCTACCTACAGCGTCAGGATGAGGACAGGTGGCTGTGGGTAATAGACACACGTGACCTCTACTATGCTACGAGGGAGGGGCCATCCCCACTAGTATGTAAGCACCGTCGCTGCACCAGGCGATGGCTGTGGAACGCACTTCCACTTGAAGAACGACGTTGTGTTCCACTTGGTGGGTGACAGCGGGCTTCAAAATGCAGCCTCAATGTAGCCACACACACAGCACCTTTGATGGTGACACAGAGTTCAGTCAAGTGCCGGGCTTTCCCCCGGATGGTGAGCCCACAGGAAGTGGCGTGGCATCTCGGGGACAGCGCCCTGGAGGCACGATACCCGGGTCCAGGTGCTAGCCCCGTCCCTTCCCAGCGAACTTCCTAAGCTAATGCCTGGTGCGCCAGTCTAGAAGACATGCATGGCCACGCTGCAGGGGGCTGCGGCGCAGGCCAGAGCACCAGGGGCGGAGAGCGCCCCGTGACACTGGCTCCACAACCCGGAAGGTCCAGGAACAGAATCCTCGTGTCCGTTGGGCCCCTCCCCCTCCCCTTCGACCTATTCTGCTAGGTTAGAGCCAACAGTGTCAATGACCTACAGTAGCCAAACCAGAAACTTGAGCCACAGGGTAAGATGCTAAAATGGGAATAACTCTCAGTCCTGGGACCATCCTTCATTACCTCAAAACAATCATCTGAAAAGTACTGCGTGCCGTTACATGCGGGGCACAGCCGGGAACATGGTGAGACACAAATGACGGGCCACCCTCCTGGCCACTGGCCCTGCCCTGTCCTCCCGAGGAGGACCTCGAGTCTGGCCCAGCATGTGGGCACTTGCATTAAACAGAGGAGTGGCGGAAAGCTGGGGAACAAGGCCATGGCTCCCTGGCCTCTCCATGCTGGAGGTGAGCGGGAATCACGGGGCAGGAGTCACGGACGGAAGCTGGCCGGGGATCTGCAGCCACGCTCCCCTCAGGGACCCGGGCCAAGAGTAGAGCCGGGAGTGCCGGGCCAGGAGGAAGCCCGCAGGCCCGCCTGCAAAAGCCACGCAGCCCTGGCAGTTCTGAGAGGCAGCCGAGCGCCTCCAGGGCCACCTCCGAGGACCTCCCTGTTGGAGCGGGCGCAGCCGGGACTCAGAACGGGGCCCACCTCCACCGGGCGAAGGGCCACTGCCTCCCGCGAGGGCCTCCCCCAACAACTGCCCCCGCCCCATGTCCAGCCGAACCGTCCCTGGAGCGGAAGTAACGGCACAGACCACAGAACACACTTTGCTCATCTCCTGCACATAAGCCCCCGCGGCCGTCGAGGCCAAAGCACCACCACAAAGCTGTTCCCGCCACATGTGGGAACGCCTATGATCTCGTGGGAAAATAAAGTGGCCGCATGGCGCCACTACGGTTTCAGGGAAGGACTCTTCTTTGCTCACCCGAAGTTCAAATTCACAGAACTTCACGCACTCCTGGGTATAAAACTACAAGCCACAGAAAATGAATTTATTCAAAGAGGACAAGGAAGAACAAAGCTAATTTGGGGCGCATTTCTTTTTTTTTTTAATTTTTTTTTTTATGTTTTATTTATTTTATTTTATTTATATTTGAGAGAGAAACAGACAGAGAGCGAGTAAGGGAGGGGCAGAGAGACAGAGACAGAATCCGAAGCAGTCTCCAGGCTCTGAGTTGTCAGCACAGAGCCCAACGCGGGCCCTGAACCCACGAACCGCAAGATCATGACCTGAGTGGAAGTCAGAAGCCCAACCGACTGAGCCACCCAGGCGCCCCTTGGGCGCATTTCTTAAACTTTTATCACACGGTTTTGAATTCAAGTGAATGACAGAAAGTAGTGTGGATGGATGCTAAAAGGCCTACAAAAGTAGGGTTATGTATATATACCTTAAAATATTCGGACATGCAATCTTTTTCTAACCTTTGAGAGAGACAGACTCACGTTTCTGACTCTCGTCCCTCGAGTATGTTCGCGACGACAGTCCGTGGGCAGTGGAGCGTGCCGTGAGCGTGTCCTTGTGCTCAGAGAGCAGGATGCAGTCTCTGCAGGTGTAGCCGTTGCTCCTGAAAGTTTCTGCTGCCAGATCCCCATTTCCCTGAGCGGCAGCTTTATTTCCCCCTGAAGTTTTCAGAAAGTAGAGGGAACCTGTTTATCACAACCTGCAGATACCTACAAAAACTTCCATCTTGAAAAGTGTATTTAAAAAAAGAACTGAAATAATTACCTTTGAGATCTCCGTCATCGTCAAGACCTAAAACACACACACATACGCGTGTCTGTTCATGAGCTCGAGTTATCAGAACAAAACCCACACACACAAAAAGTAAAGGTTACAATGGTTAATATGTCGGCATTTTGGCAACGGCCAAGATTCACTTCCCGAAATGCCTACAACTAACAGAAACTCCTCCAGACATATGCAGACGCCATCTTTTGGTTCCAGGAGAAAGCACATCTTTGCAGACAGCACACACCTGTACACGCACACCTGCGGACCCCAAGGGCAGACACGGAGGAGGGATCAGGGGAGAAGAACGTGCTCCCTCAGGCACCGGCAGGCAGAAACCTCACCGGTGGCGTCCACCCCCTGTGCCGCCTACGAGCTACCCTCGCCAGCTGAGCGCCAACTCCCAGGCTTGCCCGAATTAGCACACAACATTTTGGGAGCTAATCTGGATCTCCTCATCTTCTCAAAAGAGCCGCCGTGAACATCCAGTGGACACAGGCAAGCAGCCACGTCCCTCTGAAAGCTGCGGCTCCCCGTGGCCATCACACTGTCAGCGGCAAGGACCAGGTCACACCGTTGCTGCCTAAAGTCAAGAAGGCTCACGAGCCCACGCTGCTTTCTAGTGTCAAGACATCCACGTGGACTGCTTCCCAGTGACTCGAAAATACTGTGTCTGCCTGGCTGCTTAGAGCTGTCTGAACCTGAAACCACACTGGTGAACCTCTGTGACAACTGTACTCAGCCAGCCTACACAAGTAATGCCCTTAGCAGGAGAGTTCTCAGGCTACTACCAGACTGCTTCAGCTTCCACGTCACAACAGACGCTTCCACGTGAGCGCGGCCAGCAGAAGCGGCAGAGGGAAGCCGCTGCCCGCATTCTTGTATTTGAGTCTGGAGAAACGCCTTGAATCTTCTAGGAGCTCCTCCCACCCTGTACAGGGCAGAGGGACAACCTGGCCCGGGACTTCCCTCCTCCCCAAGACAACCTGAGAACCCAACAGCAGCCAACTCACCCCAGAAGTGGTCCACTTTGGTTTGCTCACGGATCAGAGACTCATCCAGCACAGAAGGCCGCACACAGGCCGTGCCTGACAGCGAGCCGGCGCCGCCCTGGCCCACGGCCGAGGACACGACCCGCCTGGAGGCATGGTGGACACTAAAAGCCGGCTTGCTTGCACTTCTGCGCTGCTTTGCAGTTCTAAGAAGAAAGGAACACAAGGGACAAGTTGACAGACTTCTCAGAAATACAAAACGATTACATTTTATCGATACAAAATCTTTAAGAACGTAGTATTTTTAAGGCAACGTTTCCTTATGTCTTCTCTGCTGTAATGAAACGCTCATTAACCTGCAACAGGAATCCTTGAGCCAGGGTCCCAGAGCTGCTTCTAAAATTGTACATACAGGACAGTTTTCAGAGTATTCTGGGCCCCATGACCCCAAAGTGATTAAAACTTAAAATAATCTAATAAAATGACCTAACAATAAAAATTATGATGTATAAACTTAACCCTTCTGCTTTTTAGAACAAGTGTGTGCACAGACACGCACATCCTGCACTATTTCAAGGTCCCCGGTGAAGCCGGCCTTGCATTAAGGACAGCGAGGAAAGGCTGTAACCTCATTTCTGTCCTCCTGTTTGGCACAGACAACAAAGCCCCAAGCACCGAGCTGGGGCAGGGAGAGGACCTCCCTCCTCAAGGGAACGAGCAGTGGGGGGACAGGAACACAAGTCTGCACATGAACACAGCACATCAGGAAACCGATCGTGGCATCGCCCGGCGGCAGAGAAACAGGCGGGCCGAGGCCAGGCAGCCGAGGCCCCGTCTCGCACGTGGAGCCGACTGGCGCCCTCAGGTGCGCTCACGACCACTCATGAGCCCACTGAACCGCGGGCCCATCCTCTAACCAACCCACAGTGAGTGTGAGGCACGTGGGAACCTTGGCAGGGCACCTGGCTTCAAGCTGGCCTTTCACCGCCTCTTCTAACACAACCACCCCATTCCTGAGTGAAAGACGACCATTTCCATCGGAGACTCATCATTCTTACGTGAGCAACAGAACACGATCTTTAAATGGCACAAAGATCGTGCACTCTGCTTCTTCTTGGCCATGCGCGTGGTGGTGGGCACGTGCAAAGCTCAGGAATCGAGTGAACATCGTCAAACGGCTGGCCGTCATGATGCATCTGTTAGTTCACACAGACTTTAATACACAGACCTGGCTGTTAACCATGCAGAGCTCATCCACAGTGGCCACAGTGCCACGCAATCGTCGGGGGAAGGCACCCCTCGGATGACAGCAGAGGACAGCCACATTTGGCTCCTGCTACAAGGCCGGCCGTGCGGACGGGCACCGCGCATGCTCCAGGGTGTCCGCGCCCCTGCTCGAGTCTGAGTACAAACACAAAACTGGAAACCGTGGCCTGCACGAGACCGTCCACACCAGACAGGCCACACGGTCCAGAATTAGGTTCAGTCCTCACCGTAGCACAGCGACGACAGTGTGAGTCTCCCGTGTGTACTTAAGTGCAAGAGTGTGGTTCTACAGACCAAAAAGCTGGTACGTTTGTTTTAATGTTGTTAGAGCGTGTGCGGGTAACAAGGAAGACAGTGCTTACCTGGCCGCTCTGTCCTTCAGGGAGGCAGTGCTACTGGCACAGGAGTGAGCGTCCCCAGCCTGGCCGTCCTCCGTGGCACAGGCTGTGGTGACCAGGCGCAAACTGCGGCGGGACATTCTTGGAGAATCGAACACAGGGTCCAATCTGTGCTCAGTCTCAAAAGTCAGAGCATCAGACGAATAACTCGAACTAGAAGGAAAAAAACTCGTCAGAGGTAAATAACGCTGACGGAAGTTTCTGAAACAAACTGAATAATGAACGGGACACATAACAATCCAGTGCAAATTCTGAAAAATAGCCATGACTGCGTGATGACTTTTCTACAAAGCCGAAGTCACCACAGACGCTCTGGCCGCACCCTCTGTGAAATAAATCCCCAGGCGCCCAGATATTTCACTCTAGAGCTGGCCCTAAGAACTGCCTCAGGACGCGCTCATAAGAACTCCGCTATGTGGACCTGTGTCAAGATCACTGAAAATCAGAATGCATTTACAATAGACTCCACGCCTGACACAGCAGTTCAGGAGACAGTGACCACACGGTATCTAATCCACTGTGAGGAGAAACGCGAACGGCAAGACGCTGAACCGTAAAGCCACTTTGCGTCTAACTCACCATAAAGCCAGAGACAAGCTGATGACAAAGTCACTTCAATACGCTTCCGTGGAATCATCTTAAATCAAAAGATACATTCTTCTGTGTCGTTGGCAACTTTTTCTAAATCAAGAAATATTAACCCACAAGGAGGCATCCAGGAGGCCAAGGGAAAACCACTCCTGCCTGGGAGAGCAGACTGGGCGTAGGGTCTAAAACTCAGCAGGAACCAGGAGTCTCTCAAGGAAACCAAGAAGGCTAAGGGCGTTTTAGCCTTATGTTTTATTAGAAAAATATTTTCAGGATCACGTTTACGATAAACGTATTAGACCAGGTGTGTCTCTGAGTGGTCAAGCTAGACCACGACAGAAACGTGTGGAAGCAAGCAAGCGGCCAACGTGCACAGACCTCCACCTCCCAGCCCACCCCACAGGCCCCGGGGGCTCCAACGTGGGGACACTACAATACTGTACAGTGTGGAAGGGGTCCCGGCTTTCCAACACAGAACCTGGGGTGCCTCTGCCAGCAGAGGGCGTCCCAGATCCCTGTTAGTGTCTTCAGAAAGACCCCGAGCAGACGGAAGTACAAGAATATTACAACGGCAGACGATAGGAACTGTCCATCAGCAGGGGAATGGTTCAATAAACTGGAATACGTCCGAATTCTAGAACACTGTGAGGCTGTTAAAAATCATGAAAGATCTGCATACACTGTTAAAGGAAAATATCCTACTATCATCTTATTTATGTTAAAACCAACTATAAAACAGAACCACATGGGGTCAGTAGAGCATGAGACTCTTGCTCTCGGGGTCATTGAGTTCAAGCCCCACGTCAGGCCTAAAGCTTACTTAAAAAACAAAAGAACCCCATAAAAAACCCCAGAAGCACGTATTCTCATACATACAGAGGTAGGTAAAGTCATAGAGACCTGGAAAGTTCTCTTCAAACTGTTAACAGTGGGAACCTTTGGGGCTGAGACCAAGTGGGGCAATGGGTCCTTTCAGTCTGGACCCACCTGTCTGGTCACACCCAGGGACACTCGTCTAATGCATTCGGTACCCACGCCTCTGTCAATGCTGTAGTCCGGGGACCCACCCTAGCAAGTGTGCTGTTAAGGTACTTTATTCTAATACTAGGATAGAAAAGGAGACGCCAGAAAGACCCCAAAGAAAATAACAGACTGAATCCTTCAGAGCAGCTTTTAGTTCTGTTCCTTCATCAATCAAATGTCGTTTTAAAAATGTTACCTAGATGCGGGGCGCCTGAGTGGCACAGTCGGTTAAGCGTCCGACTTCAGCCAGGTCACGATCTCGCGGTCCGTGAGTTCGAGCCCCGCGTCGGGCTCTGGGCTGATGGCTCAGAGCCTGGAGCCTGTTTCCGATTCTGTGTCTCCCTCTCTCTCTCTGCCCCTCCCCCGTTCATGCTCTGTCTCTCTCTGTCCCAAAAATAAAAATGAAAAACGTTGAAAAAAAAAATTTAAAAAAAAAAAAATGTTACCTAGATGCACTTAAAAAACTTTTTTTAATCTTTATTTATTTTTGAGAGAGAGAGCATGAGCGGGGTAGGAGCAGACAGAGACGGAGACACAGAATCCAAAACAGGCTCCAGGCTCTGAGCTGTCAGCACAGAGCCCGACATGGGGCTCGAACCCACGAACCATGAGACCATGACCCGAGCCGAAGTCAGACACTCAACCGACTGAGCCACCCAGGAGCCCTTAGATGCATGTTTAATTAAAAGGCCAGGAAAAAATCTACCACCATTGAAAGCTGGAAAATACGGACACGCGGCAGCCACAAGGCACGAAACAGGGCAGCGCCACGGGGCAGGTGGTCCTGCCTCCCGCCAGAGCCGCGCGGAGCTAAGTGGTCATAAATGAGCAGTTCGGCCACTGGGCAGGGGTGAATGGGCAAAGCGAGGCCCACAAGGGGGCAATTCTAGGAATCTGACCAAACCTCCACGGGTCCGAGTTCTGCTGACCTGGGTGTGTGACCCCAGTGGCCGCCCATCTGACCCCTGACCCTTCGTCACCCACCGGCCGGGATCCTCCACCAACGCGGTCCCTCAGCTTCGCCCGGGGCTCCAATCGGGATTATGGTCACAGCACCCCCACCCGGCCACTCCCCTGCCCTGTCGGTGCTTCAGTCCCGGCTGTGCCCCTGGATGGTGCCGACGGCTGCACGCCCCCGAGCCCATGGCCCTCTGCACCAGTGGCGCTCGGGTGCCACCCCTGCCCCGGCAGGCCTCCTCCCTCCCGCCTCACCTCCTCCTCTGGCTCCTCAGCAAACCAGCCACACCAGAGAACTGCGGACTCCTCTCAGGGGAGCCTATGAAGGACCCACGTTCAGACGGCCCTTCCTCCTCCTTCCGACCACAGCAGACGTGCCACCCTAACGCCCACCTGTGCACTCTGGACCGGATCTCTCCCACTCTGCAGAAGACCTTCTCCATCTGGTACCTCTTCTCTCTCCGAACTCTTCAAACTCCCTGTGGTGCCCAACCATCAGCACCTAGACACTCACCTGTCCCCACGGTGGAGAAAAACGACCCTAAACAGAGCCGGGCCCTTTCTCCTCCCAACCAGCCACGCTTGTTGTAAGAGTTGTCTACACTCACTCCTCAACCCGTTTCATTCCGACTCCTGCCCCCGTTGCTGCTGCCTCTGCCCATGGCGTCCCACGGGGCTGAACTCACGGCCCGTGTCCCAGTCCCACCACTTTGGCGCGGGACCCACCTTCTCGAAATACTCTGTTCTCTTGGTTTCCGTGGCAGAGACCGAGGCGCGCTTACGGGAGGCTGACACGGTCAGACACGGACTTTTCCAGGCTGCCGGCCTCCAGGGCACGGGCTGCCACCTGACCTGGGTCTCCTCTGGTTTGTGTGTGTGTCAGGGGGCGGGGGTGAGGCGGGGG